TCTGGTTTAAAATAAACTATGTTGTAGTTATGCACATGTTTATTTGGGTCATTAGTGTTTTTTGTTTATTTTTTAACAGTCTTAAGTATCATTATTAACTTATTATGACCACATTTATCTTTCGTAACATTTATAGATACATTATGTCATAAACAATAAGTTTTAAATGTAAGTTGACATCAGGGTTCATCTAAATGGACTGTAGCACTTTTCTATCTCATCAAGATACTCGGTGCTTTACACTTCAGTCTGCAAGAACCCCACGCTGTGTTTCCTGACCCTCAATGGGGTTCTGAACCCAACTGTGGAAACCCCTGTGCTATCTGTCCTTCCGTCCGTCCGTCCGTCCGTCCGTCCGTCCGTCCGTCCGTCCGTCCGTCCGTCCATCCATCCATCCATCCATCCATCCATCCATCCATCTATCCTTCCATCCATTTTCTTCCTCTTGTTCTAGACTCAGGTCTCGGGGGCAGCAGATTGAGCAGGGAGGTCCACACATCTCTTTCCACAGCCTCTTCCAGCTCTTCTGGGAGGACTTCAAGATGTTCCCAGGCCAACCGAGAGATGTAGTCTCTCCAGCTTATCCTGGGTCTTCCCCGGGGTCTCCTCTTTGCTGGACATGCCGGAAGCACCTCCTAGGGAGGCGCCCAGGAAACATCCTTACCAGATGCCTGAACCATCTCAACTGGCTCCTCTCGATGTGGAGGAGCAGCAGTTCTACTCTGAGTCTCTCCTGATAACTGAACTTCTCCCCCTGTCTCTAAGAGAGAGTCCAGCTACCTTCCAGATGAAACTCATTTCAACCTCCTGTATCCACAATCTCATTCTTTCAGTCACTCCCCAGAGTTCATGACCAGAGGTGAGGGGAGGAAGTTGTAGACCGACCAGTAAACAGAGAGCTTTGCCTTACAGCTCAGCTCCCTCTTCACCACGATGGACCAGCACAGAGTCCTCAATACCGATGCTGCACCAATCAGTCTATCATTATAATCTGTCTATAATTATCCAACATTTTTCAGTCCGGTCATCTGGACAGTTTCTTTTTTTTTTTTGTGCTGAAACGTTTCGCCTTCGGTCCAGAAGGGAAAGTTCTGGGGGAAGAATCAGTTTTTTTGTGTGTTTGGACATTGACTGACGAACAAGGAAGAGGGCCGGCAATGGAGGAGGGGGCGTACCAAAGAGACCATCTTATCACAAGCAGAACTGGTTTGTTCCACTTTGGAGTAAGCTGTTTGGGGAAGAATCAGTTTTGTTGTGTCTTTCCTTGACTGATGAAGCCTTCTGGATGGAAGGCGAAATGTTTCAGCACAAAAAAAGAAACTGTTCAGATGACCTGACTGAAAAATGTTGGATTGTATAGCTGGATTATTGAGCATGGACTTTGTTGTCTATAATTATATTCATTGTAGAATATTTTAGCCCAGTGTCCCATCTTTTGATTTCTTTGAACAAAAGCTCTAGTCCCAGTTTAACTTGACATTTTTAGATGTGCTGTATTAGCAAGAATGTGGTTAAAAATCTCCATCCGTCCAACCATCATCTTCACCCGCTTCTTCCTTTTCGGGTCGCGGGGGTCACTAGTGCCCATGTCCAGCCATCAATGTGCGAGAGGTGGGGACACCCTGGACAGGTCACAAGTTCATCACAGGTTTAAAAATATATATTGTGTTTATCACTTTACAGCTAAATTACATTTTTATCAGCTGTTGTGATTGTGGTAGACTCAGAGAAATGTGTAGTTTTCAAACTGAACGTCTGCTGTTTAAAAATAATACAATAACATAAAACAGTATGTGTCAAGCTGCAGCCACATCCGTGTGTTTCTGTGTCACGTGTTCATACGTGGTCGTCTCATGGAGCAGAGTAATTAGGTTTTTATTGCTTTGATGCTTTGCATCAGCAAGCAAGACACCATGCGTGGTCTTGCTGATCACGCCGAGTTAGCAGTCTGTTTACGAATGACTCATGACCCCCACCACCACCAGCACCACCATCTTCTGCATTTAGCACACACTACAGTGGAGCATGAGAGCATTGATGTTATTCTCAGGTGGTTCTTTTCACGTCCCTGTCACAATCCTTGAAGATCGTTGCTTCTTGTCATAGAGCTCATGATTACTCAGTAAAATTATGATTAATGATCGTGTTTGTTCCTAGAAGGCTTTAAATGTGCGTGTGTGGTGGTGGTTGAGCTGGAGGGTTGGATATTCCCCAGGCGCAGTCTCGTTGCCGCGGTGATGTAATGATGCTTGAGTCCTCTGTCCCCCCCTCAGGGCAAATGTCGGAGACATTAACGAGTGGGATGCTCAGCGAAGCACCTGAGCTTTTTTGTTGTTTTGAAACATTACATCATGGCTTTGGGAGGAGGTGATGTCATCCAGGGTCTCCAGGCTTCTCTCACACCCCTCTCTGCCTCCCACTCACCTCCCCCCGCTGCTTTCACTGGATCCACTCCAAAACCAGCTCGTACTACGCCTCTGTCTGTCTGAGCCAGAGCGTTTTTTTGTTCAAAGGTTTGAGCCTCAGCTGTCTGCATACATAACAAATGAGTCAAATCAATTGCTCTTTTGATTTGTTAATATTTTGTTTTTTAATGTCTTTGTGTGATTGCATTTTTTTCAAATACACAATTTAGGTGTAAAGCTTTGAAATCTTCCCATTAATAAATTATAAGATGCTGCTGTTTAGGATTACTTATTTTTTCATTTATTTATTTAACTGCATAAACTCTCTGTTAACCTAAAATACTGAAAGTTTCCCTTCAGAACTTCTTGTGTACAAATTCAAATTGTCCGATAAATATCAGAAACTACACGAAACACTAATGTTTAAACACTATTCAGTAAATGTATCCGTTTATGTCAGAAAATCTCAGAGCTGTCTCTGTTTTCTAAAATGGTAATTTGACCCAAAATTACTGATGAAAGAAAAACATGTATTGATGCCGTCAGCCGTGACTTAGAACAACATGACAGCAAAAGTATAAGCAAATAAATAAATACAATAAAATGGTCGCCCCTTCGACAGCTTGAGTTGTTCTTAGTGATTTTCTGTCTGATGCAGATCAGATATGTGACAGCCAGTCGTTTTTAACTTTGTGAATTGTTTGAGAACTGGCTCTTCTGTGAATTGTATCTTTTTTAAAGTTAGTTTTCCATGATTGGACCTTAAACCTGCTGCTGGTGAAGGTTGAGCAGAGCTGTGCGTTATTGTGTTTGGATGTCTCTACCAAACAGATTTTAATGAAACTTTCAGGTGGACATCCAATTCAAGATGGCCGTCGCTGCCAACCGACCTTAGAAAATGTAAACCTTGCTATAAGTTAAACCATTTTAAAGATGTTGAGCTAAAATTTGATGTGGTGGTAGCTAAGCATCAACCCCAGCACATACTTTGAGCACAAGAGATTACATAGCGTCTTTCTTCAAAGTCATGGCATTAATCGTTAGCGAAATATCTCATGAAGAACTGGATAGATTTTAATGTAATTCAGTTAAGTTCACAGAGCTTGAGCTTAAACCTGGTGCTGAAGCAGGTGACAGTTATTTACAGCACGTTCTGAGCAGCAACGTATCCTGCGAGATATCGATCATGCATGATGCTATTTTTGAGATTTGACCCAAACATCTGGAACTCTTTGACTCATCATGACACGAATTTAATTTAAATCTTACAACATCAAAGGAGGTGGGTGATGGATTCCCGTTTGTCTCTGACCCCTGCATAAATGAACACATGAGTTATTGAGTTATTTGGAGCCTTCCTGGTGACGGTGCAGCTCTTTGCAGCACAGCTGAGGGAAGGTGAAGCAGCACAGTCTGCTGCCACCTCTTTCTGTCTCTGTTACGCTCTTCACCCCTCCCTCCTGTACTTCGGCATGTCTCGCTGCCTCCGTTGCCACAGCAACTGAAGGCCCTGGAGGGTGTGTGAGGGGCTGAGTGGGTGCAGGCGGGGGCTGGTGCTCACCCAGTTGCCATGGCTGTTCCAGCTGAGTGACGGTGGGACGTCGTTGCTGCCGGTCCTCTGTGTTCCTTCTTCCTTTTTTGTTCCACGTAGCTCTCCCTCACTATCCATCCACCTATTTACTCACTCTCTCAAGAGGAAGTGCTACAACTTCCCCGCCCAGGAAATGGCCTTCCTGCGATCCGTTACTATGCCAACCAGCTCCAGCTGCTGTTTGTAGAAAAAGAGAGTGATTATGGTCTTAGTCTGTCCTCCTCTCCTCCATCCGCTTCTTCAACCTTCTGTTCTCCATCTATCTGTCTGCTTTGATTTTTTTTTTTTCTACGTCTCTGTGTATGAGATTTTGTCTGGGCATAAGCTTTTTTTTTTTTTTTTCATCCATTCTTTCCCTCTTTCCATTTCTGTATCATGTATCGGGGGTGTTGTCTGCCCCCACCCCAGAGGAGCGCAGCCATAGCTGTTCTTACAGCATCACTGTCAGGCAGGGAGGAGGTCCTTACTACCCACCACCTCCTCCCCTCCTCCACTCCTGACACACATACAAACAAACCGCTAGGTTTAACGCACAGAAGCTCCGCGGAGGCTGCGGGCGTTATAATCTGATGGTGCACAAAGGCGTTTGTGTGCACGTTTCACTTTCATAGAAGGAGAGAGTGAGAGGAGAGGCGTAGGGGGAGAAACGTGAGTGGAAGTGTTGTCAGCCATTTTTCTTATCTTTTTTTTTTCCCCTCTGGATTTCTGTTTATTTATTTATTTATTTATTTTTGACTGGAGATGTGATCGTCAAGAGCGAGAAGCAGCACACTGCTCCTTCCTTGGATAAAAGGATATTGTTTCCCTCCTGATCCACCGTCTCGTATATCTGTGGGAAGCAGATATAGATGTAGATTTTTTTATTTTTTTTTACTGGAATAAACACAGGCGGTGTCGTTTCTTTGGAGAGCCCGATCAGGCCCAAGGAAGGAAGGAAACAGTGGATACTCCCAAAACTGTGAAGAGACGGTGCAGCTGAGGGAGGGGAGAGGGCGGGCAGCTCGAAGGAGGTGAGGGGGGTCTCCGCTGTGGCATAGAGCAGCTCCGAGATGTTAGATGTCATCCAGGTGAATATTTTTTCATTATGAAACCATTAGCAGCAGCAGACAGCAATGGAGTCCCGAGCCAGCAAGATAAAACCCCGGTAAGTAGCCTATCGATGTGCAACATTTTCTCTCCCCACCTTTTATTTATGACCCTGTAGATATGATTACTGGCACTATAATGGACGCGCATCAGATTTCTATCGAGCCCGGCTAAGATGAATGAAGGACGCGTCAGAAACCCGAGTGAGCAGATCACAGGCTGGTTGTTGCCTCAGATTTGTGTCAGTGTGTTGGACTGGACACGGCCGCCATGTGCTCACTGGCACTGACACACGCAAAACGCGCGCACGCCTACATTTTGAGAGCTCCCTGGATTTTAATACATAAATTTTAACGTTACAAAAAATGATAATACTCATAATATGTATTACAATATCTGCTGTAATTTACCAGAAGCACACTTGACAAGCACTCCTTAAGAGGATCCCTACTAATGAGCGTACAATAAAAACACATTATTTAACAGATAAAATAATCTTCAAGCATTTAATGAGGGCGTTTTCTGTGCTCTAACAAATACGTTTTACTTGTTGTTTATCAGCACAGATGTTTTATCTCAAATTTATTGGTTGGGGTTCATTTTTCATGTCATAAAATAGCAGATTTTACTGCACTGAAGCATTAATATGAGACATTAAAGCAACTAAATATTTACCAAGTCTCTGTCTTAAACCAGAAATGTGCTTGTAAGCAGCTGCTGCCGCTGTCCGTGGTGCTGGACGCAGCCTGCTGCTCAGCAGACACTCGTCGGTCTGAGATGATCTGCACTTGAACAGTAAAGGGATTGATCGACTGTCAGTGCCGCTGGCATCATTCACACACTAGGACCACACACACACACACACACACACATACACACATACACACAAGCTATAGATCTTCCTGATGGACCGTTCCTGGGTTACAGAGCACCGATGCTGAGGGGGGAAAATCGCCTTAATATTCCTGTAATAGCCATAGATGTGTCACTGTTGATGAGTTATCCCATCCTCCTTTCTCACACGCTTCTCTGCTCCCCCCAGGGAGGCCCTCCGGATCCTCAGGCCTCCGACAATCTTCACATGAAGTCGGTGCTTCCTGTGATTTTATGAAATGGTTGTTGGTGTCTAAAAATGCTTTAACAAGCAAGTTTCATGGTCCATATTTACATTTGCTGTCAAAAGCAATATTTCTTTCTGAGGGTTGATTTGTTTTTAAAGCACATGTTACTGCCTGCTTCTCAAAAAATGTTAAGATTGTTTTCTCACAAATCTAAGTAAACATCGTATGTAAACCTATAAAACAGCAACCATGCAGCCATTTTTCCCTAAATAAACATAAATATTACTGGCAGACTAGAATAGTGCCTAAAGCCAAAATGCTGTAGAATTCAACAAATCTTCCTCAAATAAATAAACATATAAGCTCGACAGCTGGACGTGGCTGAGTGTCAGTTTTAGCTCCTGTTGGGAAAGTTTTACCATTCGTTTATGCAGCTTTCATCACGTTCTCCTTTCTCTGACTCGTCTCTTTGCCCCTTCATTTGACTTTTGTTTTCCCATGCATACAAATTATTGTTTGTGTAAATATTAATAAATCCCAGCAGGAAACTCGCCCAACGGGCCCACAGATCCTATTACAGAAACGGCATCAACATTTAAATCCCATCACAATTGGCTGCCGTGAAAACAGTTCCATGCTTTTATTTTAGTCTAATGTCTGTAAATGTTGTTCTTGGAGCTGCATTTTGTCTTTACTGAAACTTGATACCTCTAGGACCGCACCAACACTTTACTAGATGTTGATTTTTACCATAACCATGAACATTTTTATATATTTTGTAAAGATTTGTAAAATTAACACTCATTAGTTTTAGGCTGAGCATCCCTGTTTTTATTTACCTAAAATACATATGTTCAAAATGTTAACTATATGTATGTATAAATAAATATGTATGTATGTATGTATGTATGTATGTTAAACTTCCGTAAATACTAAATTCAAACAAATTTAAAGTACACAAGGTATGTTGGATTGTGTATATGTTAGAAGTCTTTTCCACTAATCAAACTGCAGGTTTGTGTTCTTGACTGGTGATGTCACAACTAGTGAAGGGGGAGTCCAGACAGCATATCAAGCTCATTCAACTGGACTTGCTGCCAAAGGGATTTTAATCTCTTGATCCAAAAGGCTCAGGAAATGAGAAGCTGCCGTCGTGGTCGGAGCTAGTGTGTGCTCCCTCTTGGCCTTCCAACACTTTGGAGGCGTCTTTTTCCTGTATCCTTAATTTGAAAATGCAAAGGATAAAAGCTAATTTGACAATTTGTGTTAGAGATGTGAATCTCTGATGTTTTCTTATTTCCAGTGGTCGATTCTGGTCACATTAACGAAGAGTCATTTAGTTTAGCAGCACTGATTCACTCGCTTCACCTGCAGGAGGTTTAGACTCTGAGAGGTGGCTAGTTCTTCCACCAAGCAATCTAGGTCATTAGGTCTGTAATGTAATTGAAGGAGCACCACATCTGCTCACATGTTAGCAGAACCGAGGGTTGTGGCTCGAGCGTTAGAGCAATCCCTAATCCACCTGTGACAGCGGATTGTACGTATTTTCTGCTCGTGGCTGTTTTAAGGTTATGTTGTATGCAGACGAACATTGAATTTAGAGCGCAAGAGGACAGAGATGCATATCAAAGGTTAAATAATCATCACAGCCAGGACATTTAAATTTTTATTCTATCACTAACGGAGTGAAACCACAGAATGAAAGTATAGTTTTTGCAAATCGATGAGATTAAACAGAACAAGGTGCACGTTTGGCCTTGTCATTGGGCACCAGTTGTAAAAGCTTAACAAGTGCGCTGTTTTGACATCCAGTTTGACCCAGTGTGAATTCCATTGGGCCAAAAAGGTCAATGGACCACCACATGCTCATGAACTGAATGGATCCTGGCTTATTGACTGACAGACGGATGACCTAAATGAGTGGAGAGGAAGGATTAAGCCTTTATTATCCCCTCCATTTATCCAGCCTGCCTGCCCCCACTTTGTTTCCACAGCTTCCCCCTTAACTTGTTCTGGAAACCAGTCAGGATATTATCAATATTACTATTATTCACTGACAAAATCATTCATGTGCCTGGTTTGAAGACAATGTGGACTATTGTCCACATGTTCTCGGACTGATCAGAATAATTTAGTTTGATGTGAACTTTACCTTATCGAATTTTCAACCGAAATATGTGAAATATTTTATTAGTGCAGCCTTTGCAGTCAGATTGTGTTTTACAAAAAAAAAAAAAAAACCTTCAGAAGTCTGGAGAATTACCAGTAAAGCCCACTTTAACAACAGAACAAGAAGATCTGAATCCTTAGAAGCAACAGCTACAGTCCTGAACATGTAGGTTTGAAACCCACAAAAATAAGAAACAATAACTTAAAAGAACTTGTTCAAATCTACCTGTCTTCATTTCAAAAGTGTACTGCAGTAAAATATTTATTAACCTTTATTTAACCAGGAAAATCCCAGAGATCACAGATCTGTTTTGCAAGGGAGGCCTGAAGGCAGACTAACACTTCACAGAGATTAGGGCACGTGTCAAGGTGGGTACAAGCAGGTGGGTGTGATGTGGGTGGAGACAAATAAATTGTGTTTGTGCCGTAGAATACACTTTTATAAGATGTGCACACAAAAGTAAGCCATTATTTTTCAATAATTTGCTTTTTCAAAGTGCAGACACACGGGTTGTTTTGTCTCAAACAGATTTCAGTGAGTCTTGAATGAAAAAATAAAATTAAATCCATAAATTTCTTGCAAATTTGAGTCACTGACTAGTGTCTGCCAGTCGCAGCCCACTGCAGCTGTCAACAAAAACAACGCTCTTAGAAATTATAATGAAGTACATATAGACAGTAAATGTAGAACTAGGGAAATTGCATTTCCTGCGAAAATGCTGTGGGCATGCTTATTGCAGAAGGACTTGCTGAAAAGTAGCTAAGGTTAACTAAAAACAAACATGCTGAAATGTAGGTGAAATGGAAGAACAAGCCTAAATTAGCAGAAGAAAGCAGAAAAAACACATATTTGCTGAATTATGTTTAAATAAGCAGAAATGTGCCCAACAAAATCAGAATTTAGCAAAAAAAATAGCTGAAAAGCTGCTAAAAAGACAAAAAGAAGCTTAAACTACCAGAAGTAAGTGGAAAGAGCTGAAATAAGTCAAAATAGTGGAATTAGCTGAAAAAGCTAAAATTATCATAAAAACAGCTAAATAGTAGCTGAGATGGCAAAAAAAGCTGAAAATGGCTGTAAAGAGCATAACAAGCTGATATAAGCATAAAGAAGTTAAATAGGCTGAAAGAAGCAGAAATCCCAATGAAAAGCTTGAAATTTCTATGAAAACAGCTGAAAGTAGCTAAAAATGCTACAAAAAAAGTAGCTGAAAAGGTAGAGCAAGCTTCAATTAGCAGAAAAAAGCAGAAAGAGCATGTTTGCCTATTAAGGATGAAAGAAGCAGAATTTTGCATAAAAAGTGGAAATTATCTGAAAAAAGCTGAAATTAGAAGAAATAAAAAAAAAACTGCTGTAGAGTAACTGAAAGGCAGAAAGAAGCTTAAATTACCAGGAGGAAATGGAGAGCGCACATTTTTGCTGAATTAGGTTGAAAAAAGTTTAAATGAATGCAAAAATTGTGGAATTAGCTGATAAAGCTAAAATTAACATACAAACAGCTAAATGGTAGCTGAAATAAGTGAAATTAGCAGAATTAGGCTTAAATGAGCATAACAAGTTGAAATTAGCAGAACAAAGTTAAATAGGCTTAATGTAGCAAAAATCACCTCCAAAATACAGTGAATTTATTTGAAAACAGCTAAAATTAGATTAATAAAATACTAAAAAAAATTAGCTTAAATGGTAGAACAAGCTTAAATTAGCATAAGGAAGCTGAAAGAACACACTTTTGCCCAATTAGGCTGAAAGAAGCAGAAATGAGCAAGTGGAAATTATCTGGAGAAAAAAAAGGCTGAAATTAGAAACAAAAATCTGAGAAGTAGCTAAAACAGCAGAAAGAAGCATAACTTACCAGGAGGAATTGGAGAGAGCACGTTTTAGCTGAATTAGGCTGAAACAAGTTTAAATGAGCATGCTTCATAAACATCCTCTCGTTTGCATCTCCTGTCAGCTGCAGCACCTGCGCTCTGTGTGAACTGCAGCACCGCGAGAAGAAACACGATGAGATTGCAGCTCGCTCACAGACAACCAAAAATTCATCACGCAGCCTCGTCCAGGCGGTTACAATAACGTTACATTCAGCTGGAGGCACACAGAGTGAAGCCAGCCAGACAAGGGGGTGGAAATGGCAGCCCGAGGGGTGTTGGTGACTGACTGGGCCCTCCGGTCCACCATTTTGGTTGGTGCAGCCAGATAATTAAACGTGATGGAAATCTTTGACAAGGCGTAATCACATCACACCTCCGTGCTGGAGGAGCTTCACTGTCTGACTCTCGCCTCACGCTGACACACACAGACTCTTTGTAGATTGATACGTTTCTTCTTATTTCTCCTCTCAAACACCCCAGAAATAATTTCCTTTTCAATCAGTGTACAGCAGCAATATTTAAAGATCTGCAAACATTATTGTGGTTCAGTGTTAACAACTGCAAACACTCATTTTGCTAAATGTTCCTCAGTGGTGGTGATTTTATCTTCCATAAAAACCCTTTACATAAATCACAATACATAAAGATAACGATAAAAACAAAAATAAAGTTGATTTCCATTGTTAATGAAAAGTTCTAGCTTGTTTATTTTTAAACAGATGTCCTCAGATGAACTTTCACTGACACGATCTAGACTTTCTGTTCACGTCCAAAGAAACAGAAAGAAAAATGAATTACCGGCAGTTTATTCAAGTCGTACGAACACCTTCTATAGATCTTACTAATTTTTGCATTAAAGTTTGTTTTCTTCAGAAAATGTAAAAAAAAAACAAAAAAAACTACACAGTTCAAACATTTTAAAGGAAGAAATTCTAAACCCAATATTCTCACAGAAGCTTAGATTAGTTCTGATTTCCTGAAGTAGATCACGTAGATTAGCCTCATTTGACTTGTGGGTTGAAAATGTAATATTAATGATCTGCCACAGCCAAAACTGCAGACATGTTCCTGTTTTTATTTTTCTACATTCACCTTATAATCCAGCTGTTTTTGCTACTTTTTTTGCCATCTTATTTTAATTTGTAAAAAATAGTTGTAAAAAATCTGTATGCCTTTTTATAATTGTCTGTTCTTTTCGCTGTTGTCATCATTCTTTGTTTAAATCAGGTCTCTCTTGTAAATGAGTCCTTGGGGCTCAATGGGATTAACCTGTCTAAATAAAGGTTGAATGAATATAATATAATATAATAATATATATAATCATACAGATAATGAAAAAACAACATTTATTGTCACAGAGAACGAGAAGCACTGAGTTAGTGGACTTGCTTTAAAATCAGCTGAATACTCAGAAGTAACGTGGACTCAGATGAATTGTCTCGTTGATTTGGGTTCAGACGTGGCAGAGTGACTGACTCAAGTGACTCGAGTGACTCAGATGGACCTGAGTCCATAAAATGAACCACCTTTACATCACAGGTTGTTTTAACAAACTGTGCAGCTCCAACAGTTTCATTTATGTATTTATTTATTTATGTTTGTCTGTTGTGTTAAAACCTTCCAGCTGCTGGCTCTGTGATGTATTTTACATTTTGGGTCATCTCCACAGAGAAGTGTGTCGGCTCGTTTACAGTATTTTTAATTGCACAACTTTATGCAGTATGTTTTACTCGTTCCCCCATTAGTGCCTGATGTTCACCAAGTTTATTCACGTTATAGGATTAATTAGGGCGTTTCCTCGATGTGCTAAAAGCAACATTTCTGTTTTGTTGTAATTTGACCGAATGTTTTTCTGCAGTCAGGCAGTTCTGTAAAAGAAACAGACGTTTGCATTTTAATAATACTCGTGTTGTTACCTGAATACCAGAACTGTGAGCTTCAGGAGAACTTTCTTTTCCTCATTTGTTCTCACATCTAAGCCCTTAATCTGACACTTCAGTGACACGTGAGGATATCTCAATCTCACCTCTATTTGTGGCTGACTTTGTTAAATCTCACATTTGTAACTAATTTAGTGAAACCATATGATTTCTTCACATTTATTTCAAAGTTGTTTAATTAAAAAGTTGTATAAGTCTGAGCTATTTTAGAATCACCAATTCATAGTTTTGCCTGCGTATTGTTGCGTTAACAAGGCAAACAAATTTATTTAAAGTAGGAATTTTTAAAAAATTACACAAGTTTTTAATCAAAATTAATTATTTGTTTTGTCCCTTGTTTTTTTTTTTTTTTTTACAAAAACTGAAGCTTGCATCTGCCTCACAACACCCAGTTTCTTTGTTTATGAATAATAAATAAGAGATAAAATAAGATCTATTCTACCAGATTTATTTATAAAGCACTTTAAACAATCACAGGACCAAGAGAAAAATAAAAGATGATAAATAAAACACTTGACATTAATGACACAAGATCAACAAAGAAGAAGTTAACTAAAAACACGGCTGAATATTAAACATTAATAAAACTTATCATCATTAAAAATAAACTACACACTGCAAAGACTAAGGACAAGAGACTGGGCTAAAGGAGATATTTAAGTTTTATGTATCGGCGTGGAAGAACCTGTTTAATGTGCAACAAAGATCATACGTGTCAGAAGAAAACTTTCATGTTTAATCTTTAAATACTTACAACTAAAGAGCGACATCGTGCAGAGCGTGGCTGTCAGCAGGCGTGTTGGGGTGACCAGCGGTGGCTGCTGGGACAGCTGATACTGACCATCTGCATGTGTTGTATGTACGTGTGTGTGTGGTGTGTGTGCAGCTCCCTGCAGACTTCAGCAGACTTCATCTGGCCGACGGCCTACACCCACAGGTGACCCACGTCTCCTCCAGCCACTCAGGATGTAGTATCACCAGCGACTCTGGGAGCAGCAGCCTGTCTGACATTTACCAGGTATGTGCTCGCTGGCCTCGGACCCCCGGCTCGGCCTCTCCTGGGTGGTGAAGTCTGAACGATTGTTTTACTTTGAGTCGATGAGGTAATCAGTGGGACAACAACATCTTAAAGGTACTCATTATAAATCATGAAGTAACTTATCCCAGGCTACATCAACTGGTGCAGCTTTGAATTTCAGTATTTCGTCTGTGGACCGCCGTACTGCCACCGCGGGCGGCACGGTGGATCAGTTGGTTGAGCTGCCACCTCTCGGTGAGAAGGTCGCCAGTTCAAATTCCGGTCCGGGGGTCTTTCTGGGTGGAGTTTGCATGTTCTCTCCGTGCATGCGTGGGTTTTCTCCAGGTACTCTGGTTTCCTGCCACAGACCAAAAACATGCATGTTAGGCTGACTGGTAACTCTAGATTGTCTCTAGGTGTGAGTGAGAGAGTGACTGGTTGTTTGTCTCTATGTGTCCCTGTGATGGACTGGAGACATGTCCAGGTGTCTCCCGCCTCTCGCACAGTGACTGCTGGATATGGACACCAGTGACCCTAAAAGGAAGAAGCGGGTAAAAGATAATTTCAGTAGTTTTACATGTACTGATGTGCACCTGCGACTGATTTTCATGACGCTACAAGGAGTACCTTTAAAGCTGGTTGTTAAACTTCAATCTAAAACGTAAAGCTTTCACAGAAGAAATATGTTCTATGTTATAATAAACATCTAGACACGTTCTGAGCACAAACCTGGGTTCACATGAAGCAGGAAATCTGAACTGATGTCCAGCGAGTTGGAAATCCTCCTCCTTGTGGCGAAATGACAACTGTCCCTGTGTGAGTTCTCAATAATCTCATTAAGCTGGACATTTTCTCTGCCATTAATTCAAAGGTTTTGCTGCCAGAAGGACCACGGGACACTGACAGGAGGCTGTCAGGTCTCATGGGGGGGTGTGCAGAAAGGCTGGTGGCAGAGAGCAGGTGGTCCAGCCTACATCCTGCCTCCACTTCTGCCTGTCATCACCTCAAAGCAGAAGTCCAGGACTCCCAGGGAGTCATGACATCTCACGTGATAACTTTATGCTGAACTGTGACTGAAATCCCCACAAACTTCACAGATTTCATGTTTTCTTGATGATGTTCACACAATATGTGACAATAACAATTAATAAATAGAAAAAATAACCATAAAGTGTTAGATTTGTCAGGAAACAGTTCCAGTCAGAAGAATGCAGAAGCACACTGTTGTGACTGTGGACTTAGCTCAAACCCTGCAACTAATCCTCTTAGCGTGGCACATCCACCATGCTGGATGCTAACGCCGTCACCTGCTTCCTGTTTGTTGGTCTTCCTGTGATTCTACTCAGAGCAACATTCAGTCACAATCACTTTATTTTGCTTGCGCCTCTTACCGACGTGTATTTCCTGCGTTAGCTGTGGTTGTTGAGCACAGCTGGATGTTTCAGAGTGAGACGTGTTGAGTCCCCGAGCGGTGTGTTTACTGTACGTTTGGCTATGTTTTGGCTGGCTGGGGGGGTTAAACAGGCTCTGCTGTCCTCAGTCTGGTCTGGTTCTGGTCTTAGTGCCATCTGCTCTCGGCTTTATGACGGCCTCTTGATTTCCCTCTGTCAGAATCACGCTCAGTCCTGTTCTCTCCTTTTCCTTCTTGGCTGGACGTTTTATCTCGTAACTGGGTCCTCTGTCTCTGAAACACCGTATCTCGTCCTGGTTTCTCTTTACACTCACTTTGTCTTGTATTTTTTAATCACAGTTGAGCTCACCAATGATTCATTTTTGTTCTTTGGTTTTGCTGTTCTATCTGTTGAAATGATTTGTCTCAGATATGTGTAACATTTAGACTTTCGGGACAGCCACCGACATTGGTCTGTAACTACCTTTCAAACAGGTCACAGCAAGTGGGGGTTGACTCTATTCATAGTTTTTTCTGGTTACATCAGGTGTACCCCAAGGCTCCATTCTTGGTCCAACTCTTTTCTCCATATTTATAAATGATATTGCATTATGTTAGTGAGACTCCATCCATGTATATGTCGATGACACTATTTTATATGCTTTTGATTCTAATCCGAATGAAGCTGTGAAGTCTCTGCTGTGGTGTTCTTGAAATCCAGCAGGCCTTTTCTGACTTAAATTTGTCCTTAAATGCCAAGAAAACTAAATGTATGTGTTTTGGTCATGGAGGAGGAACCATACCCTCCTCGGTGAACTTCACCACTTTAAACTGTGATATTATAAAAGAGGTAACAGTTTATAAATATTTTGGAATTTGGATTGATGGTGCTCTGTCCTTTTCACATCATGTTAATGTTTTACAATTTAAGGTTAAAGCCAGACTTGATTATCAATATAGAAATCAATCTTTGTTTACATTGACTGCAAAATGCACCATTGTTGAAAAAAACATTCTACCTCTGTTGGATTATGGAGACATAACGTGCAAACATACAATACAGACATAAATGGTCAAGACTGAATAGTTTATGACCTAATTAAACTGAATAAATACAACAATTAATGTATAATGTGATGCCATGTTGTTTCTACTCTTTCTGAGTTTTTATTTCAGAAATACGTTTGAAATTAACAGGTTTTTTTCTGCTTTCCTGGTGTCCCTGTCATAACTACAGATGTTTGTTTTTCTTTTATGTTGGTCATTAATGTAGTCGGATTCTTGCTTCTTTCTTTTTTGTTATTTTTGTTAAATAGATGAGACATGCTCTTGGTTATTTACTCTTGAGATGTCAGTAGGTGAATTCTGTGTGTTAGTAAAAAAATATAAAAACTGGATGTGACCATTTTGGGTCCTTGTTCTTTGCTGACAAATTTGTGAAAAATTGTAGTTGAATGGCAGAATTTGGGGCTGGTTTGAGTGATTTGTGCCTCTGCTTCAGTAATAACCTGCTCAGAGGCTGAAACAACTTCTCAGTTTTTAAAACACGTGACGAGTGCGTTGGCAGAGCAATAATAAGTCCCATCCCGGTTGGATAACAGGCTGGAGTCCCCAACTCACACGCTTTGGTTAACTGCTGTCCAAGAATAAAAACACGCCCCTAGAGTTTGGTTGTTGAGGATTAAAATTTTAAAGGACTAGTAATAATGACTGAACTGTTGTACTTTATGCCGCTCGGTTTAAATATCCGTGGTTTGAAATGGTATCAAACTCACGCAAAACCTTTTATTTATGTATTTATTCGTTGTGTAAAAAAGTAAATTTGAAATAAACCACCTAGTGTTTGGCAGGAGGCTCGTGAATGTGTTTAAATGTTTCTTTCATTATGTTTTCAGGGAGGAAATTTGAATGATTTAAAATAAGGTGGAAAATAATTGTCAGCAGACGTCTGGTGCCTGGCCCTGAATACAGTTTTGCAAGTTGTTTGTATACATGAAAAATGTGATGTTCAAAAATTAGACCAGCAAAAAGTGGCTGCACGGCAAGCTGGTTAACACTGTGGCTGAACGGTTCAAAGAATTATAGCACTGTTACGTTTTAATATTAGTGGTCGTGTTTCTCATCATGTTGCTGATGCAAAGGTAAAGAGATGCTGAGCAGGGCAGGTAAAGATTATTGATGGGAGCGCTGAGCGGTTTAACAACAAGGCTGCTTCGATAACCGTGTCCTTCAGCTGAAGTGATGAGTTCCACATCATCCTCACGTCACTGCCAGCATGGCGGCCTGTTTGTGACTGAATAAATCATGAAATTGGTCCTTTGAAAGCATTGATCCAAGAATAGCCCTCATGAAATATTAACAGCGCCTGACTTACCCACTGACTCCTAATGCCTACTGCAGATTTATGGATTTTTGATACATGCAAAACATGAGAACAAGTCAGCACTAGAAAACAAAAGCTCTGAGCCAAACTGCACCTGAGCACAGTGTAAACTGCTCGTGTTCAGTTTAGTCAGTGGTTAAGTTACGGAAGTTATCGGCAACACAAAAGTAATTTTTAAGGACCAGCTCTCACTGTTGCTTCCATCGTCTCCGCAGACCCCGCCTTGACTCCGCCTGCCAGATTGTGCGCTGGTGACGCCCAAATAGCCAGTAAAACTAAATCATTAATGACTTTTTTCTTCATGGCATTTGAGGAGAAATGACACAGGAGGACACTCTTTAAATGAAAATTTAAAGCAGACTGGCGGTCGAAGCAGCGAAGATGCGTCTGGCTCTGGGATTTTGCGGACAGTTTGCTAAGGCAACATTTTCTTCTCTTTCTGTTAAAAAGCTTGAGGTTGGACTTTGTGTCGTGGTAAGAGATCTCTTTGTTGTTTGGCGGCAGCACTGCTGTTTGGTATTGTTTTGTAATTACTCTGGTTTTGCTCTGTGAGAGCGTTTCATGTCGTCTGAACCAAGCAATATGCCTCCTCTGCCGTGCACGGGTGTACTTTCTTTGATGAAAGCAGCAGAAGAACCCCCGTTAGTAGAGCTCATGCCCAAGTAATAGCATTACATTCACTTCTCATCTTAGTTCATTTCTGTGGCTTCGCACATTTTTCATCTTGCGCTTTCAAAGAACTCGATCTGGCTGTGGAGTTTGCTGAGGGGGAGAGAACGAGAAAGTTGGCAGTTAATTAGCTTGTTACTATGCATAGCAGACTGTTTGATATTCAGTGTTGTCTGTCTTCCTCATACTGTACTCAGCACCTCATTTCACAAAATGTGTTAAATCTGTACAGTCTCAGCGCGTTTGGTTGGAAATGTTCTGTCAGAGATGATGTTCTCTTGTAAAATGGCTGAAAATTCATCCTAAGCATGTTCTCTTAGTTGCTTACACTCTGAAGCATCGTGTGTTGAGCTCGCAGCTTAATTTAGTTTGATGTGTCGCTGATGGACTCTACAGGAGCGTGAGTGATGGCTGCAGATGTCTGACTCTGTTGTTGGACTGCTCTGAGCTGCTGATGCTGGATGAAGGTGCCACTTTCCCCCCGTGTTCATTTTTTAAATCACAGACTCACTCCTCGTCCGTTTTCTTTCTGCAGGCCACTGAGAACGAGCCAGGTGACATGGACCTGAGCGGCCTGCCCGAGACCGCAGTCGACTCTGAGGAGGACGATGACGAGGAGGACATCGAACGAGCGTCGGACCCCCTCATGAGCCGGGACATCGTGCGGGACTGTCTGGAGAAGGACCCCATGGACAGAACCGACGATGACATTGGTAAGCCCTCGAGTTAGGGGTTATACTTTCCTCTATTGCTCACATTATGATGTAAAAAGTTAGTAGACACAGTTTGGGCCTTGAGACACTTCTAGTCATAAAATCATTGACTATGCTGCTTTTATTTTAAGTCTTGCCACCTTTTCTTTTCTCCATGCCACAAAATTCTTCATTAGGAGGATATTTTTGGAGACCGATATGAGCTAAAACTAAATGAACCATTTTCTAAATGTAATATTTTTATTTAAATCAGCCACGTTCACATCAGACTAAAGTCTGCGCTGCTCTCGTTTACGATGTTGACTTTCGAGTAATTGTCAGAGCCACATCAGGCTTTTTGTATCATCTCCCTTAAAGCTGTGACTCAACTCCAACGCTAATGATAGGCATGTAAAAAAAATAAGCACGCACAGTCGGGGCTTAGCTCCTGCTGTGGATGTGGTGAGGCTGAAGCTGTGGACATAGAGAGAGGGGGGAGTGCCACCCCCTCCCCCATCCTCACTGATCTCCCTCCTGCACAGCCCCCGCCTCTTCCAGCAGGCTTTTCTAGGTCACTCCTGCACATCCTCTCACCTCACCTCTCCCAGAGCATTAAAGTTTCAGTGCCGCTGCAGCTTCACACACGACGCTGTTGCCATGCCGAGCCCAGGTCAGCCGGTGCACCAGGCTGGTGCTGGTCAGGCCGGAGGCGGGGGCTACATCGTAGATTATGGTAGAAGAACGTTATTTGGTCTTTAGTGCTGTGAAACAGGTTGAACATTTTCTTCTACCTAGTATTTGCTCTGGGTGACACACCCAATGAAATGCATTCAGTAATAAAGCCAGATTCTTCTAAACCTCTTGCTGCAGAGCTTCATGCAGCTAATCCAAGTCTCAGAAGCTGCTGCTTGTAATTTTAAACTAAATAATTATTTGACAACAAGAAAAAGTACTTTTGTCAGTTAAAATATTTTCCAAACGTCCCAAATATTTCTGCATCAGAATGACACTACTGTAGTCCATCGCTACTTCGTGGTTCGTTTAGTACAGACTTGCTCTATCGTGGTTTTTCAAAATAAGAGTGGATGAGCCGCACGATCGGCATGGAAGTTTTATATAAAATAAATTATTTTAAATTATTTAACACCTGCTGCACTTCTGTGCAGCCCACACTCCAGGATAAACTTCCTACTGCAGTGGGGGAAGTGTTTAAAATGCCTTAGTATATATACTGTATATATATATATATATATATATATATATATATATAAATACACCACATTGACAAAAGTATTTGCTCACCCATCCAAATTATCCAAACCAAGTGTTCCAATCTCTTCCATGGCCACAGGTGTATAAAATGAAGCACTTAGACATGAGACTGTTTTTACAAACATTTGTGAAAGAATGGGTCGCTCTCGGGAGCTCCGTGAATTCCAGCGTGGAACTGTTAGGACGTCACCTATGCAACAAATCCAGTCGTGAAATTTCCTCGCTCCTAAATATTCCACAGTCAACTGTCAGCTGTATTATAAAAGCCTGGAAGTGTTTGGGTATGACAGCAACTCAGCCACGAAGTGGTAGACCACGTAAACTGACGGAGCGGGGTCAGAAGAGTTGAAGCTGTTCTAGCTGCAAAGGGTGGACCGACGTCATATTGAACCCTATGGATTAGGAATGGGATGTCACTTAAGCTCATATGTGAGTCAAGGCAGGTGAGAGAATACTTTTGGCAATGTAGTGTATATATATATATATATATATGTGTGTGTGTGTGTGTGTGTGTGTGTGTAAATGTATATAATTCAAAAATAAACTACTACTTACTTCTTGTACTACTATTCATGCTTTGTGGTTTTTCACTTATCGCGGGGCTTCAGGGTACAGATCCCCCGTGGTGAACGAGGGACTACGGTAATGCAGTTTGGTGGTTGCGTGAACTTGGTTTTTAACGGACATGAGCAGATCTAAATTCATCGTTGAGCTGATTGTTTGTTTGCTTCCCACTTCGTTCATGCAACTTCATCACTGACAGAGTCAGCATTCTCCAAATCCACCAGGAAATTCACATTTTTCATGAAGTAGTTTTCTGCATCTATTGAAAAATACAGATTTGAAGGCATCAAACTACGACGTACCATCAAACAGTAAATTATTCTTATGTTAAAAAGATATGCAGATCTGACTTACAAAGAACTTAAATAGGCTTGAACAGAGGTCACTGAGTGATTTGTCAGCTATTATTTCTGGCTTGCCTGAAAGTTTTGTATCAGTAGAATTGATATTTGGCTTTGTGTTATAATGATAATGTCATAATGATTTCTTGTCCTGGCCGCATCATGACGATGGTGATGATCTGTTTGATCTGCTTTTTTATGGCATAAACAAAGAGAGGCTCAGAACTCGTCTTTCAATGTCAGTTCTTTGTATTTTTGTTCTTAAGTTCTCTGTTTTGTCCCTGTCACAGAGCAGTTACTGGAGTTCATGCACCAGCTGCCAGCCTTTGCCAACATGACCATGTCGGTGCGGAGGGAGCTCTGCGCCGTCATGGTCTTCGCTGTGGTCGAGCGTGCCGGCACCATCGTCCTCAACGATGGAGAGGAGGTGCGTGTTGATAGAAAGTCCTGCTCATCGCCTCCCGTCTTACATTGAATTATGTTTATACATTTACATCTCTGCCTCTCGGTGAACTGAACCTTATTATCACCTCCACACACCAACAAATCTTTTCTTTTTCACGTCATGTTTTTTTTCTGCTCTATTTAACCTGAATGGCTGACATCACTTATCGCTCGGTGCTGTTCGCATCCCATAGGCACCCAAAGCTGGACATGCTTAGTGTTTTTCTTTCTCTTGGGTCAAGACATGACATTCAGTTTGAAAGAAGGCAGTTTGCTTATTTTTCACTAAAATGCACTTTAACAAAAGCGTCTCTAAGGTCTGGCTTCGACAGTAAACGGAGGCTTTAAGGGAATTCAGGGTTCAGTGAACACGTTTTTTATTGTGTATGAGCCTCCACAATGTCAGTTTTCAGGAATTCTTGGAAACACGTTTTAAATTCAGCATGTTTTTATGAAAACTAAAACTATGTTCTTGTAACTGATCTTTGTGTTTATTGAATATATTTAAGTCGGTCTCTGTTGTACCCACCGGACAAAGTAAGAAGCCGTGTATTAGTGCAGCCAGCTACTTATAATCAATGCAGAAGTACTTTTGATAATCTGCTTTGATTTATTACACGGGGAACTGTGCGGTCCTGTAACCCTGAGGTTGTGGGTTCGAGCCCAGGTTTCATCAGGAAGGGCATGCGGCGTAAAACTTTTGACAAATCTTTCATTTGAGTTCAGTGACTGTGAAGAAGGGAGCGGCCGAAATAAACATATTTTGATTTATTATGAGGCTTTAGCTGCTGGAACTACGACCATTAAAACTAATAATCAAGCTGCTTGTTGCAAACTAAGAATTCAAATGTAAAACATGTTATTCTGAACCGTAATAAATGGTGCAGTTTTAAAGAGTTTCCTCCAGTAGTTTTTTAGATAAGCAGTCCTGAAATGCAGGCACACACTGAACTTTTATCTGCACACGTTACTCAACAAATCTGAGTTTGAATTTAAATATGAGTTTAAATATGTGAAAATACTTCAAAATTGTCAGATATCTTGTCGTCAAAACTTTATCACAGTTCAACTATTTTCCTATTAAACTTTGCTCTTTTTTTTTATTTTTATTTTAAGAACACATTAACATAAAACAATTGTGGAGAATTAATTTAGACTTTTTTTTTGTGGGGGGGGGGGGGGGGGGGGAGGACGTTCTTCTTTTTTTTTCTAGCTTTTTATTTTTTTTTTTTTTTTTTTTTTTGTTTTTTT